ATACCAGCAAGTCTAATGTGCTAATACGTGGCGCCTGTGTTTGTTCGCATCCTCAAAAGAGACAAAAAACGATGATTTCAGAATCTGTTTAGATGGTACTGCGAAGTACACGGAGTAAGCCGTTTGTACATCCATGTTGAGGGGTGCCAAAATAAGGGAAGTGTATATAAAGAGGAGAAAAGTAGGCTAAAACTGCCTTCAGTGCGCCTCTGGAACAGAGAGGAAGTCATTGACAGGTTTTACAAAGGCGTGTGATTTCCAGTGCTTCCTCGAAAATGTAGGAAGTTCTGATTTTGATGCACATACAAAAGAAATACTTTTAAAACATATTATTTCCTTTTAGCAAGTCGAAACCACCAATACTGCTCAGAAAAGAGGCTGCTCGATGATTTTGTGGATTTTTTAACGAATGAAAAACTTAAAGACACATAACTAGCTTATTTGTCAGTTAACAAGTCAGATGCCAACTCATACAATTTCTTCAGCTAGCATTAGTTCAGGATAAAAATATGTTTATCTTTTTTTTGGCCCTCAACTCGGCACGGCCCGATACTAGCCACAATTAGCGAAATTTCAGCTAAGGTTAGGCTTTGAACTATGGCAGTTGTTGTTCAGTGACGACATCCCAACAGTCACGGATTGCAAAAAAAAGGTATGTATGCCCACGGAAGAGAAACAATCAGACCTTTAGTACCCGCAAAACTTGTTGTCCCCTTGTTCAATCAGTTAAAAGGCGCAAATGAGAATGGCAAGATGAGGGAGTAGTCTGATCAGCGCCGACAGCTTACTAGCTTTGAAAGTGCTATGAACTGGTACGAGAACTGTTAGCAGTGTAGCTGCCACTCGAAAATACCAAGAAAAAGCATTACAAACAAGAACAGCCAACTGCAGAAGGAGATTTAAAAATTTTTGCATGCCATTTTAAGGAATACCGTAGTGCAGTGCTACGCCAGTCTAACTCACCCAGCAAAATCACCTCATTCCGGTGGATTAGAACCGAATAAAATCTCCATTGCTGGCTGGCACGCCACAGTGGGATGTGGCGCTGCTGCACCGCGGAAAGTCGTGTACTCGACTTCGCCAACTGGGCAACCAAGCCCTCTGGGACTGACCTATTTGTTTTGATGAAAAAATTGGTACTGGCATATGCCAAGGAGTCGAATTCGCCATCAGCTTGCTTGTACGCAGTCCCCAAAAGAGAGAACCATTGCCAACCTCGCCGGCACTTGGTCGCTGTTGGCATTTGCTATCACTTGGGCTACTTCCCGAGTGCCTTCGCCTCTCACTGGAAGTGAATGTGAAAGAGATTTTAAAGGATTTCGAAGCTTTCAACTGCTTGAAAAAAGAAAAAGAAACAACGAAATATGTGCAAAAAGGCTAAATCTGGCGTCATAATGCTGAAAACCTATGAATGATGGAAACGAGAACAGCGCGCGGATTCTGTTGTGATAGGTGGGTGCCGGGCACCGTACTGAATGAAAAATTCACATCAATTCAAACCATTGCGCTGCACTATTTCTGGATTCCCGTTCGCTGGAAAAAGGAACGAATGTTCACTGGGAAACTGACTCACAGGGTTGATTCAGGCAAACGCACACAGCTGATGATACGAATTATCTTTA